TCTTCATTTGCCACGAAAATAAAAATGTGAAAACATGTTATCATTTGCGTGGCAGTTTTGTATGTTTAGCTACAACTTTAAATTTTTTGTAGCAACTAATTGAAAAATTTGACACACTAGTAATTCATTATTTATGTATATGCGCATTTATTTTTAACATAAAAATTATAGATAATGATACCATAATATCTTAAATGGGGTAATAAATATAATATATTAGAGAAAAATAATAAAAGATCAACAATCTCATTTAAAATAGTGGAACATTATTCTACGCAAACATATGAAATGTACTTTTACAAGAGAAAAAAAATAATTGTTCATCTCTCCATCACTTGGGTGCTTTCATCACTTCTCCAAAAGCTGCAATAACAATGAAAAATTAGATAAATAAAAAGTACAATAAAATATTTACTTAAAAAATATAATTTAATTGTCAATATATATGTTTTCTTAAAAGAAATCACATAGTATCAAAACACTAATATAAAAAGATAATATAAAGTACTTACAGTTAGATTTGGATCATTTGATTGTTGACTTTGAGCTGCCATCATCATTTGAATTTTTTCTTCCCATCTTTTACTCAACTCTTCTAACTTATTGTTTGTTTCTTTCTTCATTTCTTCAATTTGTTCCTTCGCTTCCCTTTTAATTTCTTCCACACGCTCATTTGATTCTTTTCTGGTTGATTCTAGTTGTTTTATGAGTTGTACCTTTGTTGGTCTACTACCAGAGTATTCGCTAATACTTTTTCCCGGACCATATGCACGAAGATATCCATTTTTTTCTGTCCCAAGTACTTTTTCAAAGATATCATCATCATTTAAAGAAATTTCTCCTTTTTCTTGCTGTTTTTTAAATTGATCAAATTGATCCTACAATTAAAAAAATAATAATAAAGATCTATGCAAATATATATATATATATATATATATATATTTAAAGAAATAAAGAAGGCTAACACAATATTGAACTTACAATGACATCTTGTTGAAAAGCATCAACTTGTTTTCCCTTTTTTCTCTTGCGAGATTCCATAAAAACGTCAACACGAGAAGGAGTTTTTCCATCTTTCTCCTATAAAAATAGTTATTATTATCATTCGCAAAATTTATATAATCTAATATAATTCTTCAAAGTTTAATCTAAATATTATAATATTTACCATTTCATGTCTAAGTCTTGCATAACTTTTGGTTCCAATATATGGAGGTAAGGAACATTTCGATCTATTTGTCTTGTTTTGCAAACTTCTCTTCTGAGAAAAATATATATAAAAAAACAATAATTAACATTAGTTTCTATAATAGATTAAAAAACTACTATAACAAATAATAATTTTAAAATCATAAATTAATTTTAATTTAATTACCTGAAAGTCAGCATCACTCCAAAGGTTGACCAAATATTTCCATTCAACCGCACCAAAATGTTTCTCCTTATTCCGCAAGCGAAGTTGATAAGTTGATTTTGAATCAAAATACTTTCTTTTCAGTTTGTATCTATAGTCTCTGTAGAGATCACTCATATGACCAAAAATTGCATCTCTTTTTCCCTCAGACACATCAAAATTGAATTTTTCCTAACAAAGATACATTCATATATTTATGATCATATGTTTCAATAACTGTTAATTCATACAAAGTTAAAATAAATGTTTTTCTTGTCAAAATAATATCCCACATATGATCGATCTTGTCTTGCTCAATCTCTTTCCAACCATTTACTTTTAAAGGACAACAACTTCGACTTCTAACTGTTTGACCCAAAAACCAAATAAATTGGGTTGCATTCTTACCAATAGCTTGAAAATCCTTATCAAATTCTACATTTAGTTTTTCTCCTTCCTATGAGTTGATTATTTTTGTGCACCGTGTGGGTCCTCTAACTTTTCTTTTCGCAATATTAGAACCTAAAATTGAGGATTAAATAAATAATGTCAAGTTAAAATGTTTATAAAAATAAAAAAATTAATAAAAATAAAAATTACCTGCTGAATTCGCCAATTCATGTTCTTCCATAATTACTTCGTTGACTTCTTCAGATGTGTTATCTCTAGGATCATGTTCTCCAAGAGAGGTACTCATGACAATATTATAATTTTTTGATAGCGTATAAATTTCGATGAGCTTCTTTTTATGCATTTTATAGCTAACCATCATGTTTCTAACGTCTGAATCATCACCACATTCAACTAATCCATCATAATCATTAATAACCCTATCACCTCTCAAATAAAAAAATTTATCTCCCTCAAATATATCAAATTTACAGTGCTTTTTTAAATCGTCTAACAAATCAAAGTAACTAACAAAATCAATGTCCATATTTGTTTTCTTCAAATGTCCATTCACATATTTTCTAGAAGGTGAAAATATAAAGTAATCACCATAATAGTAGTTAATTTCAACCTCACTTAACGTGTCCACATTTCCTACGAAATTATTGAACTTGAGTTAGTTATATATGATTAAATAAATATGTAAATTTATCTAATTGAAAAAAAATCATAATAAATTCAATACTGAACAAAGTTATATTACCTCGATAAATAA